CTAATATGTTCAATAGTAATCTTCTAGTCTTGAATTGTATATCTCACAACCAAGTACTTTAAATCTATGTGCTTGCTTTGACTGCTACTTTTATTATTCTTTGAGAAAAACATAGTTGCAACATTGTCCCATTTTCTATATGTCAGAACAAATTCTTTTGTTCCCTATACATATCTAAACACCTTCTTAGCAGCCTTCCAAACAGTGTTCCCTTCCTGGGTTGCTTTGGAACCTACCCAACACTCCCACTGCAAATGCAATGCCTGGTCTTGTGCAGACTTGTGCATACATCAGACTTCCTATAGTTGATGCATAGGGAACTTTGTTCATGTCCTCCTTTTCATATTCTGTTTCAGGACTACTCTTAATGCTAAGCTTACCCCCTTTATTAATTGGCACTATACTTGGTGCACAGTGTTCCATACCAAATGAGGTAATTACATTGTGAAACTTGTAATACCATTGGCATGATGCTTGTTTCAAGCCATATATAGACTTATTTAGCTTGCATACCAAGTGTTTTCTACCCTCTGCCACGAATCCTTCTAGTTGCGCTATGTAGATTTCTTCCACAAGTTCCCTATTCAGGAATGTAGTCTTAACAACCATCTGGTGCAACTCTATATCATAATGAGCCACTAATGCCATTATAGTTCTAAATGAATCTTTCTTAGAGACAGGTGAAAAAGTCTCATTATAGTCTACTCCCTTTTGAGTATTGTACCATTTTGCTACCAGTCTGGCCTTATACCTCTCAACTTCATTAGATGTTCTCTTTATTTTGAATACCCATTTGCATGGACCAATTTTGACACCCACTAGTTGCGGCACAAGATCCCAAACACCACTGGTAGCCATAGAGTCAATCTCACTCTTCATGGCATCTAACCAAAAGGCGGAATTAGGGCTATCCATGGCATCTTTGAATGTTAGTGAATCTTCTAAGAGACCTACACCAAAATCTGTTTCCTTTTCTTGGAGGTAAACGTATCTAAAGATGTGGTGTTTCGTCTAATCCTAGTGGATCTCCTTAGCACAAATGGAACCTCCTGCACTTCATCCCGATTTTCAAGATCAATTTGTTTAGGGAGAATTATAGGCGATTCAACCACAACAGGTTGTTCTATTATATGTTGTTCTTTTTGTACTTCAATAGAGTTTGTAGGCAAAACAGTACAAGAGTGCCTAACCATTGGATTGTGACTTCTTTGAGCTCAAGGTTTCTTGGAGTTTGACGTGTCCTTAGCCAATTTATGGCCCTTGCCTTTTGTTGTAGGACCCTACTTATTTCAACCTTTCTTCTTCTTGTACACACATTGTGAGGAGTTGGTTAAAACTCCATGTTTCCTTTTGTGTGCTATATGACATTTTGAATGGCCCATACTCGATTGGAAGAGAGTTCATGATGAAAGTGATAAAAAAAGAGTCCGTGATTGTTACTCATAAGTTGTTTAATTTGTTGCTTATGTCCTTTCATCAACTTATTCAAGAAAGTTTGTCATAATATTTTCTTAGATTCCATAAACCATTCTTTTATAGCCGCAAGGTATTGGGAAATTGTTTCTTTGTCGTAAATGACACCAGCACATTGAAGTAGACAAACATTTTATCAGAGAGAAGGTGTTGTCATATTTCTACTTATGCAGGCTTTCATGATCATCTTTCAGATACGGTTGGACTTTTCCCAATTTGTTAAGAGAGTCACTTCAGTAGGAGATGACTGATCAGTAACAATGGACTTATCTTTTACTCGCAATGCGAGGTCTAGGTCTCTCTGACCTAGATTTGTGAGAATAGTCTCCTCTCATTATGGGAAATTGTCTCCCTCTAAAAGGGGAATGGAGTTCAAATCAAGCATATCAATAGAAGCTGTAACATATTAGAAGTCACGATCAGGATTACAAATGTCACCAACAAAACGCAATTAGGTTTTACCTTTGGGCATTCAACCAATTGCAAAATAAAAAGGATGTTGTTTGGATGTGATTATGTGAATTGTCCCACACCTTTGGGCATCTGGAACTATTCATATTCAAACAATCTGCTATGACATAATGAGGCATTCCACAATTAGATTAAGATCGTTTGCCTTTGGACCCACACAAACAATATCTAATTGTTAAACACCTTTAATTGGCATGCTTGTCATAGTAGTCAATCACCTAGGTTGCTTTGGCTACACCTAGGTTAGAAGAAATCTGCATGTCTTGTACCCACCCTATTAGGTTGATTAGAACTTGGGCCTTATTATTATTATTATTATTACAACACCGGCGCATGTTACAGCATTAGTGATAAGTGCCCAATTTTAATCAAGGCCCACTAGGTTTCCATGCGTCAAATCCAACAACCACAACCACAAGGGCTCAAAAAACTATAACATCAACTAATTTGTTGGTTTGATACAAATTCAGTCAAGATAACAATTTCAACAGGCCCAAAACAAATTATATAAAGTAATAGTGATCATAAAACCAACTTAAAAGGTCACATCATGGCTGCACCCACATCATGTGTAAAAGCTTATAGTGTTTTTCCCCAATACTAATTTCAGCGTAGTGCATTTGAATGCACAAACCAGAGCTGTATTCGTTAAGATAATGAGTTACAGATCTGGTTGGCCAACTCAGACCATATCAAAGATCTATTAGAAGTCCCATGAGCCCTAATATGACATTCTAGGTTCCGCCAATCACCATCAGCCCACATGGGCTATTGGTTGAACCCCATTTTTTATGTTGAAATCACTATAGAAAAATACTACGACACGCTACACATGATCAGGGATAGTCACAAGGCAACAATTTACAAAAGGAATTCAATTGAAATATAACTATGTTAATGGTGGATTTAACTAGCACATACTCATGGCTTGTTACATCAATAATGCCTCAAAATACGGCATTTGAATTAAAATTACATCACCAAAGAACAAACACAGGGATGATAATAACAAAAAGAAAAAAAAATCCAAGCCATGAATATTCAATAGCAAATTTAAAGGAAATAATAACACAAAAGGTTCAAATACCAGTGACAAAAGTGAATCCTAATGTAGCCATGATAACTAGGTTACATACACAGGACCGGCTCTGATAACGCTTGAAAACAAATAATAATTAAAAGGATTTGAACCCAATTGTCCAGATCTAAGGAATACGAAGGACGACCCGGACATGGTTCAAGTGAGAACCTGTCCGATATATATATATATATCTAGTTCTATTGAACAGAATAAACAAACAAATACAACAATTTATCTTACCTCCCCCAGTAGACATAGCCACGAAATTGATTTTTTATTTGACGAGAGATCCAACCAAATCAGTGATCCTGCATCCATGTTCTTGATCAACAAAAGGAAAAGATCTCTGGTACACCCTTAATGCACAAGTGTGGAGTTTTTTTTCGTTCTTTTTCTTCTAGTATTTTTCTCCTCTCAAGTCTAACCCCTCTAGAGCTTTCATGTTCAAGAAAGTGATAAGGGGCCTTCTTTAGCGTTCCCTTATGTTGAGTTTGGAAGGAGTACAAATGCAAATATATAGAACGCAAAACCTTATATTTTGTATGTATTTACATTGTATATATTTGCAAACTTTATGAATAAGCTCGTTAGCTAGACTCAAGGAGAAAACTTTCCATTCATTTTTCCCACCTCTTAATTAGTTCATCTTATCAATGAACTTCCTAATTTAGTTGAGAAAAAATCTCTCCAAATCCCATCACCTCTCCTAAATCTTCTCCATCATTCAATTAAATTTGAAATTAAAAATCAATTTAAACACACCCCTACAATTATGGGATGATTGTGGGAGGTTTCAAACTCATTCCCAACAAGCTAACATTGGGATCCTTAAAATAATAATGACCTAGATTATGGCCACTATTGAGGG